GTCAAAAAAAATTTTGTTTACTTAAAGGGGAATTAAAACTACATTAAAAAAAAAAAACTTTATTCCTTTCAATTTGCCTAATAAAAAAAGTATTTAAACCATCAAATATCACTTTTTTTTTTAATTTAAAAAAAAAAAAAAATTTTAAAAAAACGAATTTTTTTTTTTTGCGTGATCCATATAACCATCCGAAATAAAAAAAAAAATTTGTATCCCGCCTTTTTTTTTTTTTTTTTTTGAAATTTGCTCCTCACATTTTTCGCTCGGTAAGTTTTTATTGTTTGTATTCTTTGTTGGGTGCATAACATGAACTGGGGACTGCCGAATAACACGCACATATTAACGCCACATTTAATAATCATAAAACTTTCACCTGCTTTTTATCTTTCGATGTAATCCTGATTTTTTAAATAGCTTGCTTGGTTTCCTCTTCATCAAAAGATTATAACACGACAAAAGAAAGAGTTAAAAATAGAAGATAGATAAATATATATACCTTTCCCACTATATATATATATATTTTTAAAAAAAAAGCTTCTTATCAATAAACTATTTAAGTTCATTAAATCGTTGCGCTAGTCGGACTTTTTTTACCTCGAAAAAAAAAAAAAAACGAAAAAATGTTTGGTTTCGGACAATTTCGAATAAATTCGACGCCACCAAATCAAAATAATAATGCGTCATCAGTACAAACACACCTTTATCAAGATGATGATGAGGTTTATCCTACCGAAGTTGACCAATATAATGGAGTATACGGTGCAGAGCCCGTCGTAGATAACTCTATGTTGATTGAATCCCCTTCTACGTCGAAAGAAATTTTGTTGAACTATGAAGGTGAAGATAGAGATACTTTTGTACTCGTGCCTGGTTTTAGTCTTTTCAACACATTAGAAATCCCTTTGCCGGGTGGTAAAAGCGTGGTGATCAACGATTACTGGAGCGATGTAAAAGATATTGTTGAAGATCCTTTTATCTCAAGTCCAAGTCCTCTAGGTGTAAGTATCTTGCAAAAAAAAAAAAAAAAAAAACAGAATTTTTAAATATAATTGCTAATTTTCTCACCTTCTTTTTTTGTTATTAAATATCCAGTCTATTCACGATAGAGCTGTTGAACTTTATTATCAAATTAAAGGGGGTCAAGTTGTAAGTACTTTGAAAAAAAAATTATTTTATGATTAATATTTATTGTTGAAAAATTTAAAGGTATTATCTCTTTTTTTTTTTTTTTTTTTAGGATTACGGATTACAACATTCTCATCAATTTTGTCATAATCAATTGGGAACAACGTATGAAGGGTTTATGCCTCTCTGGAATCCAGATAATCCAATTGTATTAATCGGTAAAGGTTATGGTGCTACGACCGCACTTTATCTCCAACATTTGTTGTCGACAAATTTCTTTGGGCAACATACTTCAGGACGAATGGTTAAGGCTGTCATTTGTTTTTCCGCACCTCATCGTGGGAGCATTCTTCCATATTGGCTTGGACTTGAAGCAGGATCGAAATGTATCGTTGACCCATTCAGTCTTCTTCAATTATTCTTATCATTTATCCACATTGTTTGCTACTTCGCTTGCTTGGAACAACTTTTCTCATTCCAATTAAATGATAAATGGAATTTGAGGAGTAAACAAGATGGTGGGGAACAATCGATATGGAGTGCAATATCTGCACGAAGCAGATTTGCATATTTTGGGGACAATTTCTTGGTCGATTGGTCAGTTGAAGGAGCAAGGATGAGATATGCGGGAGATGAAAAGGATAAGCACCATTTAGATCCTGATTGTGTTTACATTAATTATATAACAACGGGATCTAGTTGGAGATCAAAGGTAACAGGTCATTATTGGCCAAGATTAACCTTCCGTAACTTCCCAACCGGCATCATCTCTAAATTTCTCGGACAATATAAAATGACAACAGACGTGGAACAACATGTGTTACGTACATCATCATCCGCATTCTGGGAGAATGACGGGACACTTTCAATTCTTTCTCAGCAACCACCACCAAATCAAAGAGTACAAATGAATATTGTAATTACGGAGAAACTTTTTGATCCAGTCGATCATGAATTAACTCCAGGTGCATGGTATAACGTTTACGTCGAAGATCGTTCAAATACAGTATTATTTGATAAACCATTTTTAACCAATTTACCTGTAATCGAAAAAATGTTGGAAATTAATACTGTTAAGAGATTTGGAGAATTCCTTTCCAGCAATACGGATCATTTTGAACATTATTATATTCATTTGATGGAATTTGTTGAACGTCAATTGTGTTGTTTAGGATCAAAATTAACGATAAAAGGTGGTGAAAGCAGTATGACTGACATTGAATATGTTACATCAGTATCAAATTCTTACATGATCAATGCTACAACTGATCGTATTGAAAGACGCACAAGTGATAAAGCTGGTGAAGAGTGGTGCAGACGAATTGGTACTATAGAATTAATGAATAGTCCAAGTAGAATGTTATATTATATTAACAGTTTACAAAAATTAAATGCGGCTGCTGAAAATGGAGTTGTTGGATCCCAAGATTTGATGCCACTTAAAGATGCTGCTTCTTTCATTCCATCCGGTCCTATGTTTATTAAAGCTAGACATAGAATGACTACTGAAGATTATAGAACTAGTGTTAATAATAATTAATAATTAATAATAATCATAATAATATTAATAATAATTAGTTTTGAAATTTTTCCGTGAGGTGGTTGAATTATAAAACAAATCGTTTTTTTTTTTTCTTTTTTATAAAAAGTATTTTATAGTGTTCATATTTCTCCTTTATTTTTATTATATTTTATTATTATTATTTCATTCAAAAATTATTATCATTCATTTACTTAGAATACCATGTTCAAAATTTAACAAGATAACATTACCCAATCCATAAAATAAAAAGATTTTTAAATTTTCCACGTGTTGTGTGATTCAGTTGAAATTGTGACAACACTGCGGTGTGATAAAGATTGTCATTGATGATCGTCAACGCGTCGTGTCGCATTTTCCATTATAAACGCGTTTCTTTTTTTTTTTTTTCTTTTTTTTTTTATTTTAAATTTTAATTTTAATTTTTTTTTTTGTAATTTTATAAAAAAATAACAAATGGATAAAGCTACTTATGACGATTCTTTAAAGAATGATATTTTCAATATTTGTAATGCCTTGGGAGGTTTTGAAAGGATACAAAATAAAGACGGTAGTGAGAAACAGATCTATCGACCTGGAGATGAATGTTTAGCTTGTCTTAAAGATTTAAAAGAATATCTTCGACTAGAAGGGCAAGTCAAGATTGACGTACTACACTTACTTTACAGCTACGAGACTTTCAATACGGATTTAATACCTATTTTATTGAATTGTACAAACCTTGATAATAAACGTCAGAACCGACTGGCTTTGGCCTGCGTTGAATTGATGGTAATCATGACTTGGCCCGAAGATCCGAATGAACAGGCTCGAGAAATGTTGGAAAGAGAAGATGAAGAAGATGATAATAGTGATATCGGTGCTAACATTGATAAAAGGAAGGAAGAACACAATATTAAAAAGCGAAAGGAGAAATCTTTTTCTAAAATAAAGGAGCTCGTAACCGCTCGATCAAGGTATAAATTTTACGTTCTAAAAAAATCGATAGTCATGCGACAAATTTACCTCTTGCTGGAGAAATATCTGATTGTAGAATCAAAAGGGAGGTCTGAACGTGATAACAACATTATTCAACTTTTACTTAATTTTTGTCGGAATTTATTGGCGATTGATGATCCACCTAATTCTGAAAGTCTATCAAAGAACAAGAGAAGTCAGATTCATTATGATCTGATCTTAGAGTTTAAAGATGCTCAACTTATTGACCTTTTCCTTAAACTCTCGACGAATAAAGAAGAAGCTCTCGAATGGGATATTATACTCATTGATATTTTCTATCGGATCTTCTTTGGGGTCAACCCCGATAGTTTATTTATAAATATCAAGAAGGAAACAATGTGGAAAGCACAAAAGTTATTAGATGAGGAATTGTCCAAAAGGGAAAAACGTAATAATGTGAATCCACATTACAAAGGTTCGGTTTGGATTATAAATCCTGATGGCCCTGACCTTGTTGTGCACAAGCAGCAGGCGTTAAAGGGTGATGGTTTGCAAGCATTGGATGACGTAAAGAAAAAAAAGTACGAGAAAACAAAACCATTTGATGACTTTGACAAGTCAAGGAAGCATCGAATTCTCAATCCTCAAGTACAGGATTGTTTAAAGTATATCGCGTTATACTTTCTTGAAAATGGATTTAAATTTTTGTTAAGGTCACTCAAAAAGGACTTGATCAATGGTGAATACGATGAGGTTCCGCAAACTATGGTGCATTATTCATACATCGTGTGTTATTTCCTTGAATTACGATTGTTATTGAAGTCCAAGGATATACGTGTTCCATCATCACGGACGGAATCGAACCCAAAGGATCTTTATGATTTCGAGATCGTCGCCAAAGTCATGGATGGGGATGGAATTCAATTGACGTTTAGAATGATAAGAATTTTGAGAGAGAGAAAGTTATGGTCTGAACTTCATTTTGTAGTCGAATATTTAAAACAAATTTTCTTGACCATCAAAATGTTGACAATCTCGAAAGACGTGTGTGAAAAGTGGGTCGCCGATGAATTGCAATTAGAGATTTATCGCGAATTGATGAATTTGGAAATAATAACCGAACTTGTAAGAGAATACAAACCTCATTCTCATTCCATTGGATACTTGCAGAGTGTAACCGCTGCAGCTCACGTTCTTTTACAATTGCTTGAGAATTATGCGAAATCAAATAAATATATGGATTGTAAGAAATCGCGACCTCGGAAAAGGAAGAATGAAAAGAGTCATACAACCGAAGACGATTTTGGTTCAAAAGTTGCCAACGACGAGCATGACGAGAGTAGCGAGAATGAACAAAATCAATATATTAATTATAAAGCCATATTCGAAAAGGTTGAAAATAAATTCGCGAATGAAACTATCGTTAAAAATTATGTCATGTTATTAGAAGAATATCAAGAAGTTGACTCCGAAACCATAAAACACATTACGATGATGTTCTTTCGGATTGCCAGACATTGTCACCTAGAGGCTATGTTCTTTAAGGTATTTTAAAATATTTTAATAAATTTTTTTTACGGATCGAATGTTTGATCATAGTTCTAATAGTTTTCCAATTTTTTTTTTTTTAAAAAAAATTAATTTAGCTTTCGATTATGGAAATTTTTTATCGTATATTAAATGATTATTCAAGCACTAAAAAAAGGTTGACTTATCCTCAAAAAGATTTGAAAAATTTCATTGAATGGATAGTTAATAAGCTTATCATTCAATTTGGGAAAAATCCATTGATGTATGCTGAACTTTTATTCCCCAAAAACATCAATGATGTGAAATTACTACAAGGTGGATATGTATACGAAATAGAAACCAAAAAACAATCAGGTAAAATATAGGAAAAACAAATGAAATTTAGAATAATGATAGTTAATTTTCCAATTGGTGGGATTCTATTTTCACTTTGTAATTAAATTCGACTTGCTTTTATGCTACTACTGAAACTGGTTTAAAGATCGGTCCAAAAATCGATCTTTAAGATCGCCTTCGGTCATTCCAGATGACATTCCAGATAACATTTCAGATGACATTCCAGATCTCATTCCAGATCACATTCCAGAACTCATTCCAGAACTCATTCCAAAACTCATTCCAGAACTCATTCCAGAATCGGATGGACCGGCGTCTAAGAATGCGGGTAAGTTATAATGGATTTTCATATTTATTTAATTCACGAGAACTAACAAGGTCTCTATCTTCGACAGATGATTAGTGATTTGATTTCATCGTATCCTGTGGTAGCAATTCGTTGAAGAAATATACCTAATATGGATATAATATTTTATTACATTTTTTCTCGTAATAATTATATGTTTTATAATCATCAATAAAAACGATATAAATACAAATATTAAAATTAAACTTTATTTAAAAGTTATATATTACTGAATTTAAGCTATATTAAAAGTTTTTACATATTAACTTAAAATCAAATCTTAATTTCGTTTCTATTATAGCGTCTAAACAGTTATTTTACTTTGTAAATGATGTACACACCGGTAAAAAGTATCTAGCCACTTTTATTATTATCTTCGCAAGGAAAAATAGCAAGAGTGCTATAACCAACCAAAGGATGATTTGTCTTCGCAAGGGAAAAATAGCAAGAGGCCTTTCAAAACAATAAGAGCGTTTGGTAGTCACGAACGACCAGTTCTCCAAACAAGTGAAAGCATGTAAAGGCCATGCAATCCGGAAGGAGGCTTCGGCAAAGGGACGGTTTGACATCGTCGTTAGATTGTAGAACGAGGAAATACTTACATTTTTAGCATAGTCCGCCGGTTACTTATAACGTAGACAGGAAGAAAGAGTAGGGGGCCAACCTGGTTTGGTTCTTTGTGCAAGTGAGAAACTATTTTTTCACACTGAAAAAGAATGTAAAAAAAAATCAGTAAAACGAATAGATTAACTTAATAAGTATTTTGACATTCTATAACCACCCAAAGGCTGATTTGTCTCCGCAAGGGAAAATAGCAAGCTATAACCAACCAAAGGTTGATTTGTCTCCGCAAGGGAAAATAGCAAGCTATAACCAACCCAAGTTTGATTTGTCTCCGCAAGGGAAAATAGAAGAGGCCTTTCAATACAATAAGAGCGTTTGGTAGTCACGAACGATCCTCACGTATGCGTCATCAGCTCTCCAAACTAATGAAAGCATGTAAAGGCCATGCAATCCGGAAGGAGGCTTCGGCAAAGGGACGGTTTGACATCGTCGTTAGATTGTAGAACGAGGAAATACTTACATTTTTAGCATAGTCCGCCGGTTACTTATAACGTAGACAGGAAGAAAGAGTAGGGGGCCAACCTGGTTTGGTTCTTTGTGCAAGTGAGAAACTATTTTTTCACACTAAAAAGAAAATGAAAAAATAGTCAGTGGAATATTCTAGTACATTATAATAGTTTGATATCGTCGTTATATTGTAGAACGAGAAAATACTTACTTTACGACATAAGACAACAAAAAAGCCTTGGCGCTTGGTGGAGAAAAAATTATTTTTTTTTCTTGAAGGAATAGTAAAGGCATTTCTTTTGTGTGGGAAACTGCTACCAAAATAGTTCTGCTTTTAAGTGAAAGAGTTGTGAGAAAAAGGAGAGATAAAGGTGCTTATTAAACATTAATGTATTTTGATCGAGTTGAATTTCTATTTTAGGAAGGGTTTGGTTTATTCACTGAACATTTCCAATCAAATGTATTTACTATTGTTGATCACTTTTTTATATAAAATTTGTTTTAATATTTATGACAAGAATTAGAATATTTAATAATTCAATTAGTGACTTTTATAATTATTGTATTATTTCATAAAATTTTTAATTATATTATATTACAATTCAATAATTTAATGATGTACAAATTCAATTAATATAAATTTAAATTAATATATTTAAAATTAAATTATTTAATTCTTTAGTGAAATACCAACATATAATATAATTATATTATATGGTGATATTTCACTTGCCCTAAATTATATTACCACCATATAATCTGGGTACCACCATATGATCTAAATACCACCATATGATCTGAATACCACCATATGGGAGTGTTTCTAGGAAAATCAGGTTCTGAGAAATTTTTGACTAAAATTAAAAGCTTAATACATTTTAATCTAATAACATCAAAAACTAAAATGCAATAATAATTTCAATTTTGCTAAAAAATTCCCAGAACCTGATTTTCCTAGCAATCAACCCATATGATCTAAATAATATAATCTAATTATTACCATAT